CGTTCTCCTTAACCTGGACCCCACACCAGACCACCCGAATTGTAATTTTACGAAAATAAATAATTTGAACAATCCAATTTGTGTTGAATAACTTAAATGTGTGACTACAGGGGGAAAAAAACCCCTAATTTATTACATGATGTAACCATTTACAATATAACACATTTTTTTTTTTTTGCAATCCTGTTTTGGCGTTTCTTCATTTCAAAAACATATTTATCAGGAGACTCCAAAACTGGAGGAGGTCCAGGGTCTCTACCCCTCTGTGGGCCCCTTCGCTGAGCACACCGCAGAGCTCTTGGAACCCTGGGGAGGGTGCAGGAGTTCAAGTAAGATTGTTGCAGATCAGCCAACTCAGCATTGCCCAGAAGTTCATAAAACTATAATAATGGCAACAATAATAGCAGGTCCACACCAGCTGCACGGTGCTTAATGGATTTCAAAGCACACTCACCCTCTTGTGAACCAACCACACCCGAGGCCAAACCTGGGGGATGCTGGCTCTGACTGCTGAAGGACAATTCACCCTGCTGCCTCGACTCCTCAAGTACGCTTCTGAGCTTTGACTTGGCCTCTTGATGGTCTGTGACATTGGGCAGGTCACTTTCCCCTCTTTGAGCCTCAGCTTCCCCATCTGCAAAACAGGGAGGATGCCCACCCAGCTAAAAGGCGGCCTTGGGGAATTACTAGTGGAGGACAGGATGCAGGAAGCACTTACTCAATAATGATGCCCTAGACAAAAGGACTAGAGTTACAGGAATTGTTGTTATGATTGTTGCTGCTGGTGGTATTACTGTTTGGCGGATCTTCCCAGCCACCACTCCTGCTTCCTTAGTGGCTTTGGGCGTGGCCTGACTTCTGCACCAGCCTTGCAACACCCTCGGGCGCCTCAATCTGCCCTGCCCACCCTCAGCGCTTTCATGCATTTGTTGTGTCCTGGGAGCTCGGTGTGGTTTCGATGAAGCCTGTTAGCAGGGGGAGGCTGGTGGCCCGGCAAGACTGAAACCCTGCAGTGCCTGCCGAGGCCTGAGCCCCAGCGCAGGTCTGTCTCCCTCCCGTCCTCATCCTTTTGACCCCCGGTGCTGCTCCGATACTGCCCTGGTTTCCAGGAATGTGTGATTCTCCCAGCCTTCCCCAAGGCAGGAGCCTTTCTATAAGGCAAGGTGAACTCCATGGAAGACCAGATTCCAGCTTTCTTCTGGGGATTAAAGGCGAGTGGAGGCCGTTGGAGTCCTCGCCCCGTGGACGACTGCAGGCCTCGGACGAGGTCCTGCCCGTGTGGGATGCTGGTGTGGCTCTACCACACTCGGCCAGTTTCCTGCTCCCCCAAACACCACTCCTCCTCCGGCCCAGCCTCTTGGGGTTCAGGCGCGACTACCATGACTCTCAGAGACACTCGGTCGTTGCGTTTGAACTCTCCTGATCTTCTCCAGTGAAGTCAGATTCCCCATCCTTTGCTAGAGTGGAGAAGCAGGGATTCGCCGTGACCTGGGAACCCTTTATTTTCTGAAAGGCAATCCATCCCCAAACTCTGCTGTTTGGAGATACTCTTGGGGGTCTGGGAACCCCGCAAATCAATCAGTCGTCTGAGTGAGATGCTGCTTGGGACTGCCATAGTCAACAGGCCCCGGAGTTCAGATTAAACACATATGCACACACTCACCAGTGACATCTGGTAGCCTACCATCCCAAATTTGCAGCCCCGAACAAGATTTGTAGACTCAGCCTGATCCCTTGGGACTGATTTCGGCACAGGTCACAGCATATTCTGCCTGCTTATCTAGCCACAGCTCCCATCTAAGTGTGTGGGTGAACCCAGTGATCTTTTTGCCAGCTCTGAAATTCACTAACGCCTGAAAGGGACTGAGAAAGGTGAAGTCAAAAGGTTCCCGGACTCCAGGGACAGCTGCTCTTGAAGACCAGGCCCTGGCGAGGCCCAGAGGGTTCGGCGCAGCCCAGGGTCACAGGGAGTGGATGAGGGAAGATCCGATTGGACAGGAAGTAGGGAAAGCAGAAAGCAAGACTGACTTTCTTGCCTTTAAAGAAAGGGCCAGGGTGGGAGTCGAGAAGGAAAAGGAAATAAAGTAATTCTGAAAATCTCCAACAGAAAAGCCGCGTCTGCGGCCTGGGGCCCAGGTAAAGACATCCATCTTGGGTCGTGAAATGCGGTGGGAAATTGTCGGAGGGCGGGCTGGACCCGGAGGCCGCCTCCAGCTCCTGGAATCAGATCTTACGGCCTCAGGCCAACGCCAGCGGCGGGGCGGCTCAGAGTGAAACTGCAACAATTCGGGTCAAACTGAATTGAATCATTTGAGTCGGGTTTCCCGGGCGACTCGAGCCAGCCCAGTAGAACCGGCCCAGGTCGGGAGCCCCCAGCGGGTTGAGGAAGAGAAGAGGGGCGACCCCGCCTGCTTAAGAAACTCCCCAGTCCTCTGGACTCCAAATTCGCCAGGACAGAGAACAAACTACAGTCTCAGGACGCGGCCACAAACTACTGAGGTTTTCAGAAGGAGGGGGAGAAAACCTCCCCTCCTCTCCCAATATCTCTGGAGAGCAGAGAGGAGATTTTAGCATTATCGGAAATGTTCTAATTTTATGTAAGGAAAAGGCATTCGGGATTAATGATGCGATTAAAACGGAATTTCAAAAGGTATCAAAAAGAAACCAAATGACTGCAGAAACCCTTTGGAAGGGAGCCGGACTTGGGGGCCAGGGCGAGCCTATGCTGAGGCCGTTTGCTTTTTCCTTGGTGTCTCCCTGTTTCCAAAAGCAGGAATCGTTTTTTTTTGTAAAACCTTCCCCGAGACTTGCTGGCCCCGCCGGATGAGGGGTGGCAGAAGCCAGGGCGTGTGGGTGCCTAGGTCAGAGGGTCAGAGGCTGGGAAAGACCGTAAGGCAGGGGAGGAGAGCGCGCTGGCCTACCCGCTCTGGGTGAAATTGAAAGTTAGCCCGGCCTGGGTTTCAGCGTTTTCCCAGCTGGGCCGCAGACTGAAGGCCTCAGCGCCTGCAATGTAGCATTAACTCTTCCTGGCTCGCCCCGGACCCGACATGAGGGGTGCATAGCGGTGAGGGGTTGGCACCGGTGAGTCCTTGGCATCTGTAGAGTTATTCTGGGGAACGCTGGCTGGGCGCAGTTCATCTCTAAAATGGGGTAATAAATAAGCGTCGCCCTGCCTATCCTCTGCTCCCACGGTGGGCTGCTGTGCACATCAAATGAAGATGTGTCCTTGGGGGAGTGAGTGGGAACGTTCTGGAGCAAAGTGCAGCGTCATTGGCACCTGGCAGGGGTCAAAGTGCAGGAGACACCTTTTTAGCTCTTCCTTCACCCCTAATCGGTTCAGAATTCCAGCGAGAGTTTTTGCTAGCCCAGTCTGGAAACGAAATAACACTAGGATCACTTAGAGCAAACTCTCAGACAATCAAAAGCAGAGAGGATGCCGGCAGGTGGAGGAGTGAACAGGTTAGGGTTGGGTATGGATGGGGGGTGGGCATGGAAATTGGCAGTGGGTTCAGCTCTGAAGAAGGGAATGGCAGCCCACTCCAGTATTCTTTCCTGGAGAATTCCATGGACAGAGGAGCCTGGCAGGCTACAGTCCCTGGGGTGGCCAAGAGTCGAACAGAACTGAGCGGCTTTCATTCAACTCTGGATGTTTCCTAGACTCTGAGACACTAGTGACCACCGCGGGGGCGGGGGGGGGGGGAATCTTAGGCATTTGCTCTGGATTCACTGGGATTCCTCTGTGACTCCTGCAAAATAGCGATTCCCTGAGCGATGCCAGTTTAAACCCTTCCTGGAGGTGAGGAGCTGGTGGCTTCTGTGATGGGGGGAGGACTCCCGGAGAGGACTGAATGGGAAACTGAGCCCACGTTACCGGTTCCCCCGAAGCCGGACAGAGAGAGGCTCAGAGAACACACCGCGTCCAAGAGGGCATGTTAAACTAAAAGTTTATAAATTAAAAGGGGAAAAAATACAACGAATAGAGCTTCCAAATTTCACAAATCTTTTTAAAGTTAATACTCTAGTTGAGTGCACGGCGCCCTTAAGGAGGCGACAAGCGGCGAGGTTGACAGGGTCACCTGTCTGAGGGACAGGGATGGGAGAACCCGGGTCCGGAGGCAGCAGTCGCGGAGGGCGGGAGGTGGAGGGGATATTCACATTGAATACAAAAATAACCGTCATTTGAATACAAACAACTGCAAAGTGCTACAAGTTTTAACCTCCTTAAAAAAGAGAGAGGAAGGAAAACAAAGGAAAGTTCTGCGAAGGACTCCTGGTTTGCGCGCTCTCCTGGTTCAGGGGCTTCCAGGAGCTGCCCGGGTTGGTCGCAGCCCCGGGACTCCGAGAGAGAAGACGCCGGGCCGGGGCTCTGCCCAGAGGCTCCCTTCCGTACATTCAGCACCCAGTCAGGCGCCCCCACCCGAGCTGCGACAGCGGGGAGGGATGGGGCAGAGAGCCCGCAAACCAAGCACTTCACGGTTCAATGAACCCCTAGCCTGGGGCTCCTTGGGGACTGCCCGGGTTCTGCACCCCTTTGTAACAAATGCGATTTCCAAAAATAATAGATATGTAGATACACATAGATCGGTAGCATGGATACCATGAACTAGTGTGGCCTAGCGCACGAAGCTCCCGGCAGGCCTGACCTGGTGGGATTCAGGCTTTCGTGGTTTCCAGGAGCTCTCTCCGCTCTGGGAAAAGCCATCCCCAGGCAGGCACAACCCAAATCCAACAGTGCGGTGGTAATAAATAGTGTCCGAGGGCTTCCCAGCAGGTGGGGACGAGGGGACGTCGGGTCCCTAGGCCATAGGATGCCTCTGTTCCAACTAGAAGAAAAGGCGCCCCCCTCTGGGTAGACCCAGTTCCCGCGGCCAGGGCGCAGGTCCTGGAGAGAGGAGCAGGACTGGATTTCGTCCTCCACCTGCCGCCGTCCCTCGGCGGGGCGCCCCTGTACCCGGCACAACCCTGCAGGGCCATCGGCGCCCGTCCGGAGCTGGGGCGCTGGGATCCTTCGCGGCCTCACCGCAGGACGGCTCACTGGGTGCCCGCGGCGGCCGCGCACGTGGAGAGCGCCCAGCCGGGGAGGCAGTAATAAGGGTAATAGTAGGAGGGCTGCAGGGGCAACAGCGAGGGTGGTCGCAGCACCTCTCCGGGCAGGTATTGTCTCTGGTCGTCGCGGACCAGTACCTTCACCGCCACCTTCTTGGCGGCGGGCGCCGAGGCCAGCAGGTCGGCAGCCATCTGCCGGCGCTTGGTCTTGTAGCGACGATTCTGGAACCAGATCTTCACCTGCGTCTCGGTGAGCTTCAGAGACGCGGCCAGGTCTGCGCGCTCCGGCCCGGATAGGTAACGCTGATGGTTGAAGCGGCGCTCCAGCTCGAAGACCTGCGCGTGCGAAAAGGCAGCGCGCGAACGCTTCTTGCGCGGCTTAGGCGCCGCGGGCCCCTCCTCCTCCTCCGCGCCGCCCGCCGGCCTGCCGCCGCCGCCGCTGCAGAGCGTGGGCACGCGTGCGCCTCCAGGGCCAACCCCGTCGTCCTCGGCCCTCGGGCTGCGGTCGCCTGCGGACCCGGTGGGAACAGAAAAAAGACATGTCAGCGCCGCCGAGGAGTGAGGTCCGGCCTCAACCGCTGGCGTGGGGGCTGGGGGTTGGGTTGGGGGGCGGATATACACTTTGATCCCGCCGGAGTGGTGGGGTGAGCCTGGAAACCGCAGTCCGGGAGGCGAGTCTTCCAACTCTGCCCCAGTCGCTTCCTGCCTCTAGTCTTGTTATGAGCCGGCAAGGAACTCAGCCGCCGTATCAACCCTGTGCGGCCAAGATCCAGCTTCCTGCCTTCTCTGAGCCCCTCTGGGCGCCTCTCAGCAGATGCGGATAACGGGCCTGAGCGTCCTCCCAAATCTTCTCTGCTCTCAGCCCTAGAACCTCGGGACTCTCTCCCTGGGTTCACCCGCCACCTCCCACGCGCAATGCGCGCACCTCACATGCATCGCAACAGCACACGCGCGGGCTGCGGCAACAGGCTACTGCCCAGGCCGTGGGTAGGTTTCTCCCTCGCCCTTCGAAAGGGGATAAAAGGAAGGCTGGGGGTTGAGGGATGTCCCTGCTTCGAATCCTTAGACCCTAATCCGACGCCTGCTCCTGGGGCCCTTCCTTGCTCCCCCCGGCTGCACCCTAGCAGAGGTCCAGCACTCTGGCCTGCAGCGGATCCTGTTCGATCGGAGCCAACATTGAGGCCTACACCGTTCAACCGGAAGGGCAGGCACGGGGGTCTTTCTGACCAGAGGGCGTGCCAGCTTGTGGCTGAGGAGGGCCCTCTCCCTTCTGGGTCTGGGATGACCTAAATCGAGCCCGGCTGCCTTCCGCTGGCTGCGGGGTTACTTCCAGCTCTTCGGTCCTCAGCCCAGCGCAGCTCTCCCTCGCCTGGGGTCTGAGAAAGCTAAATGAACCCTCCTCCCAAAGCTCCGGCTTGGTCGGCTTCCCGCTCACTTGAATGTTATCCCTGGCTACCTATCTTTGAGCTGCCCGTCCAGGCTCTGGGACCTCGGGCTGGAAGCATCTCTGATCTCTGGGCCTTAGAGAAGGAAATGGCAACCCACTCCAGTATTCTTGCCTGGGAAATCCCATGGAGAGGAGCCTGGCGGGCTACAGTCCATGGGGGTCACAAAGAGTCGGACAGGACTTAAGAGACTAAACAATAACTGCTCTCTGGGCCAGACCCAGGGTACTGGCTCCACAAGGTCTCCGGGCCGCTCCCTCTTCCCTTTCCTTGATTTTAGGGATTTGGAGACAGACTCAGCCGAGGGCACTAGCGATGGACTCAAGGCTAGGGTGCAGTGGTTCCCTCCCACCCGGTTCTAAAGCACACTGCCCGAGGTCGTCGTCTGAGACTTCACCCTATCCGCCCTCTCTGGGGCTCAGTGGCCGGAAGGTTAGAGCAGCCTGCGCCAGCGCGCAGAGCTAAGGGTCTTGGCCAACGCGGGGGGCCCAGGGCGCGGGGTGCTCACAGCTCGCCCACCTCTCTCTGCGCGGTTGCCTTCCTTGCCCAGCCCCTCAGCCCGGCCCCCTTTCCCAGCGAAGCCTCGGCCGAACCTGAGACGCTGGCCGACATCTCACTGTCGCTCCGGCCTGCGGCTTCCTCCTCCAGGTCCTTGGCGGCGGGCAGCTCGCAGACCGGCTGGCCGAGGCCCAGGGTCGCCCCTGCACGGCAGGCCCCGCTGGTCCCCGGCGGGTCCGCGCAGCGCCGGCCGCCCTCGTTCTCGCTCAGCGCCGAGTCCGAGTCCCAGCCGCCCGGGCTCTCCGCCGTCCGCCCCGCAGCCGTTCTGGTCCCCGCAGGTGACGCCAGCAGAGAGTCCTCGGCGACCCCCAGCGCGCCCGCCTCTGTCTCCCCAAAGAGCCGCCAGCAACAGACAGCGGGCGCCGAAGCCACTGCCACCGCTGTGCCCCCGGGTACCGAGCGCCCCTCGGTCGCGGGCAGCCCGCCGCGCTCCTCTTTCTTGTTGAGGATCGCCTGGATGGAGAAGGGCGTCAAGGTGTTGGCGCCGCGCACAGCCATCAGCGCCGGGGGCCGGAGCGGCCGGCCGGGCGGGCGGCTGGGGCGCGCGGGCAGCTCCGAGCTGGATGGAGCGCGCGGGGGCCGCTGCGGCGCGAGAGAGCCCGGCGCGCGCGCGGGGGCCGCTGCAGCGCGAGTGAGCCCGGCGCGCGCGCGAGGCCCCTGCAGCCCACTCCTGCGCTGCCCAGCAGCCTCCGCCCCCCACGGGCCCCGGATCAGCGTCGACCCTCACCCCCACTTCCGAGGCCCACCCCACCCAGAGACCCCCCTCCCCCCCAATCCAGCGCCAGAAGTTCTCCTTTTCGCAGCTCAGCTGGATTAATCTCCCTTAGGGGCGGGCCTGGGTCTGGCCCTCGGAGGACTTGGGGTGGGGAGGGGAGGATCGGCGAAGACCCCCTCCGCGGCTGCAGTCCCCTCTCCAGCGCCTCCGGGGCGCACGGCCCGAGTCACTTTTTCTTTGCAACTCTGGTCTCTTCCTTCCCCGCCTGCAGGATTTCGCTCCTTGGATCGTCGTCTCCAAGCCCTGCTGGGCCGGCTCTTCCGGAGCCCACCCCCGGCGGCGGCGGCGGCGGCGGCGGCCGCAGGATTCCAAGAGGCGCGGGGCACCTTGTTACCCCCTGTCCAGGTTTTATCTGTTTCTTCTCTCTTTCCTTCCCCAGCGTTCCACCGTCCACCCCCCCTCCCGCCCGGGTGTCATTCCTCACCGCTGAGTGACAGCCTCAGGCCACGCCCCCTCGGGGGGCGGTCCCGGGCCTTCCCGGCCGCCCATTGGTTGGCGCCTCCTGGGCGACGTTGACTGGAACGGACAAAACTGGGCACGTTGCTCGGAGAAAGTCAGGGTCTGACTTAACCCCTTTTCTCCCACGTCTGGTCCTCGAAGCATCATCCTCCAGCCGCAGGGACGCTCAGCCACCTAACCCCCGGCTTCTTACCTATTCTGGCACTTTCGTGGAACGCCATATTTAGTTGAGTCCGATCTGGGAGGGAAACCCAAGTTAATGCAGTTCCTTAAATCGTGCGCGTAGTTTCTGTTCTCTAGGGAGGTTTATAGATTCGAAGAATAAATTGCTGCTTCTTTTCCTCTTCCAGTTTCGCGGCTTCCTCACGGCTCATTCTTTTCTCTGAAATAATGAATGAACCAAAAGTACCCTAGAAATAGTTTTCTTTCCTCACCGGATTGTATTTAATTTCTGGAGAGGCATGAAAAAAGAAAAGATGGGACAGATAGAGCTAAAGTCAGGCAAGAAATTGGAGGGCATCTTTGGGAATTTCTGGAAATTCAGCGATCATTTCCCTGGGCGGTCAATGCTGAATGTACTTGGAGTTTGTACAATTTTACACGAGGAAGAAAACTGAAGCTTTCTGTTTGTTCTTGAAATATTCTGCTACTTGTGAGTTGAAAAACATATTTTTGTTTAAAAGACTATCTGGGAATTACCAAAGTATAGATCCTGAACTGATGACATTAATGTTCTTTTTAAAAATGAGTAGTAAATTGTTTTATGTAATAGAAGAAGCCAGGCTAAGAAACACAAATATTGTGGGTATTTCAAAACATTTGTTACTCTATTTTTATTATTGATTTTTAAATAATAATTTACTCAAGGAATACACTTCATTGTCTTCTATAAATTTTTGCCATAGGCTTAAAACCAAATACACAATTTGAACCATTAAATAAGCTTAAAGAGCTGTGATTTTAATTCAGTGATTTTAATTTAATTTAAATTGCTGGGATTGGTATTTTTGGTACTACTAAAACAAACAATGTTCTCCCCTGTTAGCTTTCTTTTTTTTGTGGTTCTTGTTCTGCACCGCAGGATGAAATCCACACACTGGTAATTTGCAGGCCAGTGGAGGGCTTCGCAGCATCTATACTTTCCAGCATTTCAGCCACGTGATGCTCTCTCGCATCCCAAACACGATCCTGTGGTGTTTGGGGAGGGGTGGGGGGAAGAAAACCTTACATTGGAGAGGTCGTTGCCCTTTAATAGTTCTACTAGACTACTTCAGTTTTCTGGGAAAGGTGTTTCAATTTCGTGTCCGTTGGCTGCAAGTGTAAGGAACAGGACGCTCTTGAGGCCCGGAGGGGAACAGAACAGAAGGCACACGATGTTTCAAAAGAAAACCGTCCTTTCCTTCCTCCCGCTGACCTTGATTTACCCTTTAAGTTACGCCCCGCTCCCACCACCTTAGACAATTTGTTGTTCCTCTCTGGGGGCGAGTTGAGGAGGAGATGGACAAGAGTCGCCCACAAGGAGAGAAACAGCGAGCAGGTGTGAACTAGTGTCGCAGACAGCCATCCCTTTGTGGGGTTAGGACTTGATGGGGACAAACACGCAGAGATGCTTGAGGGGCCGAGTGACCGAGTGTTAGAGTGAGTTTGGGAACTATACAAGGAGTCGCTTGAATATATAAGCACCACTTAGTTCCCCCCTCCCAATGTTTTTTTTACAGAACCCCAAATCAAAGTAGAATATACCCCGTGCCACAGGCGTGGGTAGAGATTTTTCAAAGTTTAGAAAGATGTAGTTCGGTGACTTTGAGCTGTCCATTTTTTTGTTTGTTTGTTTGTTTGTTGGTGTGTGCCCGGGGTATGAGTCTTCAGGAAGCGCACAGCCAGGGACGGAGGCATCTCGGGCCACCGCGGCGGCCAGTTAACCTTTAGGTCCAGGGAACGGTTGCAGGCAGGGCCGGGAGTGTTGGCGGAGAGGAAGCTCGCGGGTCTGGAACTCCAAGTAGAAGCTGATGGTGGGGTTGGGTGGGAACGAGGAGTCTTTGGGGGCCGGTGAGCGGAGGTGGACGGATGCATAGAGATTTCCCGGGTACATGCCCTGCAGAATCAAGGCCGGCGAGTGAGGAGGGGTGTGTGACGAGGGCGCAGCAGGTCAGCTCTTGTCGCTGGGCTGGAGACGGGGGGACCAGGGCGCGTCGGCGCGGGCTCACTGGGGGCCCCGCTCGCAGTCCAGAGAGGGCGATTTGCTGCGCGCTTGACCGTGAGCTCCGGGGTATCCACGGCTGCCCGACCGCGCCCGAGGTTCGATCAGTTCCGAGCTCCGGCCCGGGCCGACCCCGGGAATCTGCGGAACCCGGGAGCCCCCGGCGGTCGGCCGGGCTTCGGGAAGCCGCTCGGCCCGCTCTGCGCCCTCTCGGGCCCCTCGCCCAGCTCTGCCTTCGTCTTCTCCCTCTCCTTTCCATCCTCATCCTCCACCACCCTTCCTCTTTTGCAGTTTGGTTCCTGCACGCCGCCTGCCTGCAGTACCCTCCAACCCCGAGCCGCCGAAGCGCCGTCGGAGGGTGAGGCTTCCGCGGGCCAGGGCGCCGCGCGCAGTGAGGGTGGGAGAGCCGCGGGGTCGGCGATGGAGGAGAAACCCCAGCTCTCCGGCGGAAGCGCGCGCCCCCGGGCCCGCGTCCGCCGGGATGTTTCCGCGGTGCCCCCGCACGCCGCGCCCCTGCCGCCCTCCACCTGCGCCCTGGGCAGGATGCGGGGAGACGCGGCAGGCGCGATGGCCAGCGCGGGAGGCTGCCTCGCAGTGGGAGGCCACGCGGGTCTCTCAGAAGCCAGTGGCCATGGCCGGATTCACCTGGTGTCCCTGGGCCAGGGTTTCCAGTCCTTTAACCCGAGGGTTTGTACCCGGTTCTCTTCGAGGCCGATGCTAAGTTAAGCGGGATGACGCGCGGGGAAAGGGCGAAGCGCAGGACTGCCTCCTTGGAGTCAGATCCAGGCAGCCTGCGCCTGGGAATTACCCCCTGTCCCCGTCCGCAGGCTCTGGAGGTCACTCCACGCGACCGAGGCACCCTGGGCATCAAGCGACAGGCCACTTGCCGGCCAGCAGACCCTGGCTCCTGGGTCCCTAAGTCATCCGCATGCAGGCCCCACAAGGATTTTTCACGTACGTGGTCCAGGTGTATCATCAGACCGTTACTACGGGCCGAGAAAGTTTCCTATTTAAGCAATTGCTGCCCACCGACAACGTGGCAGGATGGCAGCTTATTGTTTAGTTTAATCTACGTTTCCCTGAGGGTGGAAAATATTATTATCTCTGTTTTACAGATGAGGAAACGGAGACTCATGGAGTGAGTTTAAATGACTTCGCCATCACTAAGCAGTTCACTCAAGATTTAGATCTGACTTTGTAATGCCAGCCCAGGTGGGGTTTCTATTCTAACAGCTCTCCCCTCCCCATGAACCTTCACGTTTATTCTCATTAAAGGTTGCCCGTCATCTTGCTTATTTATTTCTGTGCTACATTCATCAGGAAAGGAATTTCAAACTTAAGGAAATCAAATAATTTAGGCAGTCAAATCTAACCATTTTTTCCTGTTTGGTACTTTTGAAAATAGAGAATGCCAAGGCCTGGGGTGAAGTGAAGTGTTGGTCGCTGGCTCATGTGCTCAGTCACGTGTTCCTTCTGTCCAACTCTTTGGACCCCGCCAGGCTCCTCGGTCCATGGGATTTCCCAGGTAAGAATACGGGAGTGGGCTGCCATTTCCTCCTCCAGGGCATCTTCCCGACCCAGGGATTGAACCCGGGTCTCTTTCCTTGCAGGCAGATCTTGACCATCTGACACCAGAGAAGCCCAAGGCCTGTGGATCTGAACCTAAACCTTGTTAGGAAGAAAGAAAGAAACACGCCATTATTATTCTAATCAACAAACTAAACCATGTGCTGAGGGAGACAGCCAGGTGTTGAAAGTTCACTAAGTTCAGAAATATGGGGACCTGACTTTCGCTCGAGGTTTTGAGATGATGCGATACGGCCTCATGAAAGACGTGTTCCCTTTGGAGCTAGTGTTCTTACCTGTAAAAAGCCAGAGTTAGAAATCACCTCTGTTTTACAAAACAAATGTACGCACTCCCGACCCGACCGGGGTACAGTGGAGGACGAGCGCCATCTAGCGGACACCTCTGATGGATGTGCGGGTACCAATCTAGAGAAGCGTGGTTAAGTAGAGCCGAAAGAGAATGTTGGTTTCATTAACACGGAAAGTTTTTTATGTTTACGCAGCCTCATGTTATCAGAGATATAATAGCCGAGGTGTTGCATTTTAAAAACTCACCCAGACACCATCT